CGCATCTGTTTCCCTTTTAACGACCTGTTTAAATCTGCTCCAACGTTTGCGCTTACTATGTTTAGGTTGCAGCCAGTGGCTTCTGTTGAATGGATGGGCTGTACATACATTGTAACCCGTGTCTAGATGTTGCATCACTTTGTCCAATGTTTTCCGCTGCTAATGCATTTCCTAAGCTGTCTCTTCTTTGTGGCTACTGATAAATATCTAATCTCACTTTTGTATGCACATACGTAGAATTGTGCGTAAATTTACTAGTTAGGTTGGTTTGGCGGCATACGGTCGTTCATAAAACTGGTTTAACTTGGCAGGCAAGCATACAGGCGATACAGCAATTTCTATATTTTCCGCTCCCTTTTCAAATTTTCAGCTTAACTTGCTCAGTGCCGCGTCACCATAATGGTCATGCTTCTATGTTGAATAATAGGAACTAAATCTGAGCCGTGCCGAAATTTTTAAGCAAAAGGCTCGTCCCTTGTAGGTGTTGTCCCGTGCCACAAACAATTTCATTTCAAAGCCTTAACACGTTCAGTGCGGCGTGACCCACACCGTGGGTCACAATAACATGGGATTGCCTACCCCCACCGCACTCAACGTGTTAACAGGGTTTTTATTGGGTGGTGTAGAACTCCCCTTTAGAAACAAATCCGAGAGTGTAGTCCTAGCGCAGCGGGGTGAACCGAGTACAGCCTGGGCGCAGCTGGGTGGCCCTACCGAAACATTCATTTGAGCGATTGTATAAATCCGAAAACTTTCGACTCTCGTTCCCGATCGTGAATACTCTAAAAACTCAACATTCTAGGAACGTGACACAATTAACGTTTTATTGAATGTGACCTCACAGTATTTGAAAAGTGATGACCATCGTTATTTGTTGGGATGAGACGGTCAAGCCGTGGTCAGCCCAGGCACTCGAGTATGCCGTGGCGTGTCTACTTGCTCTGGCTGGTTTGGGAACAGTCGTGTTTTGCTTCTTTGAACCTTCCCGGTCGTGCACGGATAACAAATGTTGAGGCTAGACAGCAAAAATGTTTAAATTTTATTTTTAATTTTTGCTGTTCATCTAATTAGTTTTGTCGTTTGGCCGAAACTTAAGACTCAGCTCCAAAAATTTATGACAAGACCTGAAAGAGTTTTTCTTATTGACTCGTCCAAACATTTGAGTGTATGACTCGAACTTTTCCCACATCTCCTGCGACTCGGATTTGACGTCCGCCTAACAGTCAGGAAGGGCCCCCAGGAAGGGCCTAACAGGTTATATGGGCGCAAAAACTACAGTTTCTTTAACCAAATTTTTAACCTTATCCTGACCTTGTCATGAAGATGAAAGTTTGAATTGCCCTTCTGTGACGTTTTGTAGTTCAGTAGACGGCATTTGCGAGAAATCAGTTTCTTAGGGGTGGATTAGATAAGCCATACTTAGATTTAAATGCTAAACACATCAGGGAAATATGGAAGGCTTCTAATATTATTGGATTACAGATATACAGCCATGCAAAAAAATGTCATAAGGAACGTAGAAACATATTACTGAGGGGTGGACCACTTAGATATTCCATGCACTCATTGAAAAATATTCCAGATATTCCAGATATTCCAAAAGTATTCCAAATATTCCAGAAAAAATTCATATATTTCAAAAATATTCCAGGTATTCCATGTACACCAAAAATCTGAGTGGTCGACCACACCCTTTATTACTGAATTAGATATTTTTTGTATTAAGAGCCCCTCCCCCTCCAACCAAAGCTCGAACTTTCGAGGGGACCGACTGACTGAATGCGACTGATCCGAGCAGTCGGTGCTGCGACTGCTGGGCTCCTAAGTGGTCCAGTCGGGCGCGACTGCCATTCAGTCGGGGCGACTGCCGTTCAGTCGCCTGTGACTGCCGCCTCATGGCGTGGCATAGAGTAGCGCAGTGCCACTTCAGCCTCGAATGTAGGCAACCCAACCAACGTCCCCCCACCATGTCAACCCGCTCGCTCGCTGGCCAGTCGGTCCCCGACTGACGGCAGGCGCTGCCAGTCAGACGGAACCCCCGAAAGTTCGAGCCTTGCCTCCAACATCTTGGCACACCCAGTTTTTTTTTTCTATTTTTCAATAAATGTTTATTTAAGGCAGATCTGCCGTAGAATACTAACATAATTGTATTTAGTTTTCAGGCACTCAGATTACTCAAGCCTTGTCCATCACATAAGAAGTAGTATGTTTTTGATGATGATAGTAATGTTTTTTTCTTGGCCCAGCTATCGCGGTTACTTAGATATTGTTTTGTCTCTTCGTAGGTAAGCGGCAGAATGCAGACTTTCTTTTGTTACTGTATTGTAGTCCCTTGACAGGTTATGCTTCTTATGCTACTGTGGCCGTTCAACAATAATTACGACGCAAGGAGTTCTGAACAATTTTTGCTGCATAATCTCTAGTTGTCACTTTTGTAGCCTGCATCGAACGGTGAATCGAAAACGCCCTCGAAAACTTGATTATTTTGCAATAATTAAATGGTTATTTAAAAGTATTTGAAGGTTGTACATGGTAGATGTATACTGCTGGCAGTTCCCTTTAACATTAACTAAATCTTTTCAATTTCACGAAATTTTACGGAAAGGTGCCGCTGTCCTTGGTCTCTAAGGATTTGTGAAGGAAAACAATATGTTCTGCTCTGCTCTTTTTACACGCCGCGTTTTAGAAATTAACAGCAGCACGTGGTGTAGTCAACTTAGGAATGGCATGGAAAGGCTTGTACTAAAGAGACCATTAACCACTGCCGCACCATGGAAAAAAGCAGAAATGAGAGATCGATTTTCTATGATATTTATTAAATAACCATTTACCATGGGAAAAAAGTAAGAGGCAAAGTGCAACTGAAGTGGCAACTGTCTCTTGGTTGTCCCCTTGCTAAGGTGGCACTTCAGTTTTAGCGAGGTAAAGAGCCAAGGAGGAGGCAAAGTGACACCAACCTCACCCCAAGGGTAAAGGGTAACGCGTCTGACGCGTCCGTACCCTAAATTTTGTTCATGGTTTAACTCAAACGGTTCTTCCGTACCTCTTTTCTGTAGCGTGCCGTAACGGAATGTCCGTTGCCAGTCCCGTAGTATCACATGATTTTTTTACAGTGTGTTTGCCTCTTGGTTGCTTAAAACCACTTAACTTCCACTTTATGTGCTCTTTGCCACTCACTTTTTTCCCAGGGTGAAAATGCCTCGACGCGCCTTTCAGAAAAAGATGAATTTCTGACGTGTCAGAAAATAATTTTATTATAATTTACGTCCGATAAAGATCTCTCACTTCGGCTACGAGCTGGAATTGTTTGCTCAATAACATTTTTGTAACGGACTAGGTTCAGCGCAAACTATTGTCAGTCGTCAAACAAGGCACCACAATCATTAGTGCTATCATTATCAATACGTAGAACTATAACCGAATTAGCTATTGTAGAATAATTTGACTTTAGTATATTAGTACTTCCATTGAAGTGTCTTAAGAATGTTTTCCATTTGTTGGCAAATTTATGGACTAAATTTCTGCAACAGAAAATTTGAAATTTCTCAAAATTGAGAAATTATTATGCAATGTGTGAAATTAAAATTTAAAAAAAATGGAATGTCCTCAAATTGATGCTGCAACACCATGTATGCTCTGCTCACTGCAGTTACTTTAGAATTGCTAACTCACTTTTGTATATCGCTGACCCTAGCCCGTACAGCCAGCACTGTTTGAACACGCAGCTGTGTTGATTTTGCTTTTTTGAGTACTAAAGTACTATTTTGAATACGGCGCAGGTATTGACTTAATAGATTAGCCGCAACTCTAAACAATACATTTGTGTTTCAAGAGGATCATGACCACAAAACGAGCAAACATTTTCTTAAAAATTTCGACCGTTTTAAAATCGTTACGTTCGTTCTCATAAAATTATTTTGCTCCATCTAAGTGTTCCTGGTTCTCTGAAAATCAGTAGTCAAAACGAATGAAGATACCAAGAAAGTCTGAAGTTTTTTTAAAAAATCAGAATTACTTTTCGTAAACTGTTCATTTAGGTGTTTAGTCGTTCAAGTGTCGAACGCACTGATGCACACTTGCGAGCGTATATACGAAGCTTTCATACGAAAATATACCCAACACTCTTAAAAAAGCACAGAATTCTGTAACTTGTTACGCAGTAAATTACAAATCACCTTTGATGCATCTATCTGTAAAAATTCGATAGAGACTTCTATAACAGATACAAAGTTCCAGATTTGGGTATCAGTTATAGAAGTCTGTATCACGTTTTACCGAGAGGGCAATAAATCCGAGTTCAAGTGTACACATGATTCCCGGAATCCATGATTCCCGTACATTCCCGTCTTGATTCTCATTGATTTCCGTTTGTTTCCGTCGTGATTCTCATTGATTCCCGGTGATTCCCGGGCCGGTGTGTTCACATGATTCCCAGAGTTATTGCCCCCTCGCGTTTTAAAGATATTTGTATCAAAAGTGATATGCAAATTACTGCATAACAAGTTACAGAATTCTGAACCGATTTTTTTATCGAGTGAAACCCTTGCAAAGGTTCCTTATTGTTGAGTTCCAAAACTTACCATACTAAGAAAGCACGTTGAGTTTAACCTTTGAACTCTTGCAAGTGTACATTATTGAATAACACACTTGTTATTACGCACAACAGCTAAATAGACAGTCTTCTCTTTAAAATTTTAAATTTTAACACACGAATTCGGGCAACAAATCTTTGTGAATGGTCGACACATATGTTCTCTCCTCTTATCAAAATTCAGCGTGAATCATTCAGTTACAGTTTTTAAATTGCAATGTCATTTCACCATTGCAGCAATTTTGTTTGTGACCTCTCCCACATTGAAATTGTGGAATCATTTAGGTCAGGGCTCTATGCAAGCCCTTTTTTGGAAACCTAAATGTTTGTCTGAATCAAATAAGAGGCAGCTTATGTGTCATTTTGAATACATTGTGATTTTAACAGATTGGTCGTCTCTCTTTTACAGGCCGGTCGGAGTTTGGGGGAAAATCGTGGGTTCATTATGTGCGATCGCCGGTGTCTTGACAATCGCACTGCCCGTCCCAGTTATAGTGTCCAATTTCAATTATTTCTATCACCGGGAGACAGATCAAGAAGACATGCAAAGTCAGAACTTCAACCATGTAACATCATGTCCATATCTTCCGGGCACATTAGGTAAGTTTAATTGTACCCTCTTATACAATTACGGCGATTGCCAAAATTTCTATTTTTACCTTTTCACTTTTCAAGCGGGACAACATATGAAGAAGAGCTCAGTATCAGAAAGTTCGTCGGATATGATGGAATTAGAAGAAAGCATTTTAGTTGGGCCGATAAAAAGGCCGAATTCCTGCATTTCCAACCCTCGACTGCATCAGTCCCACAACAACACATACCCAACAAGCATAGAAACGGATGTCTGACTACTGGGTGAGTATATTTTTTGACGTAAAGCTTTTTCCCAGCACACACTAAGAGATTTGTAGGTTTTATTTGTACAAAGTTGCGCATACATTCCACAAATTTGTGTGAAGAAGTGCATGTTTTTACGGACCAGGTCCGGTGCCCGGTCCATCCTAACCTGGACCGGTCCATCTTAGGATGGGCCGATGCTTTTCGGCCGATGTTGACTACAACTAGCATTGGCCTGTATACATGGCTGGGCTTGGGATGGACCGGACACCGGACATGGTCCGTAACACATACGTATGCACAAATTCGTACATATTTGCGCACAAATTCGTGCGAATCGAAATGTATTTGTAGGTTTTTGTGCAAACGTTTGCACAAAAACCTACAAATACATTTAGTGTGAAGTTCCCTGTTTTTCTGAAATGTTAATGTTGCGCCGCTTGCAGTGTGGGCGGCGGCCTGGTGGGTTCCCTGGTGCCGAGCCTCCTACATCGGTCCAGCGGGGCGCCCGCCGTGGGGTGCGTCACCCACCTCCTCGTGCTTCCAACGTTCCTATGGTGACGCCACTGCCAGCGCCGCAACAATCGCCGCCGCCAACACCAAGCTCAACGGACATGGATTTCAACAATGGTGCTCTCTTCCCTCCCTGCCTTAGAGCGGGCCCCGCCCCGCCCCGCCCTGGCCCCACCCGGCCCCATCTAGGGCCGTAGTTTGGGAGGGGTGGGGGCGGGCCGTTGAGGGCCCACTCAAGAGCCCCGTCCCCCCGCCGCCCATCCGCCAGCCTGTGAGAGAGAAGTGTCTCACCGCGCCCCAACAAGAGAAAGTGTTGGGATATCCGCGTAGTATTATTATTATAATTATTACAGACTTTTAAATGAAACCAACGTGCAACACAACCAAATACTTTTTTTTTAAATTTATGCATAAGGATCTAAATAAACTATTATATAATTAAGATGGCCATTTTTAAAATGCGTTTACGAATATAGGTGCATATCGAGACCGTCGAAGAAAGTATGGAGCGGACCCCTAGCAGATGTTATAAAGTGACCCTATGCCCAATGATCTGTGTCCAACCGCCCGTGGGCCAGTTAGGCCCAATTAGGCGTGCGGATACAGGGTGAGACAAAAAGCCGTCCATTAAATGTCAGCTCCGCAGTTAGTTGAAAAGCTCTATAATTACTAGACTGACTACGCGGTTTACGCAGTCTTTTTCTTTGCCCTCTAAACTTACTTTAAATCAAGAAATTAATAAATATGTAAATGAGCAGCAATCGGCGATCACCCTGTATACACACGCCAGTGATCATTTGTGATCAACAGCCACCCCGTCTGGAACGAAGCTGGATGATTCTCATACTCAAGAGAACCATCACGATGCGCGGCAGCCTGCAATATCAAAACGTTACCAATACTGAAATTTTCTTCGAAAACAAAACTTGTTTAGAACCAAAACAGAAATCATGGAAAATGTCTGACTTTTTTTAAAAATTTTGATCTCAAAATTTTGACGTTTTGCTATTTTGGGCTGCTGTGCAAGGCTCTGCTCTGCTGCTCTGCGCGTTCCGTTACTGACAGGGTGCCGAACCGACCGCTTGGCGGCAGCACCAATGCCATGGCGCACCGTATAGCTGGTACACGTTCAAATGTGAATAGAGTTCTATGTCCTATGAGCTTTCTGACTGTACTTTGTTGAGCGTGTGGGCTTTCCTCTGAGCCGTCACCGTCATACTTAGCGCCATGATAATGTCAGGGTCATGATATCTGGGATTCCTGCCCCATCCATCCATCCATCCTAGTCTCGAGTATTATTAGATAATGGATCCCCAGGGTAAATCCTCTCCCCATTTCTCCTGTACTCGGCCCATCCGTAAATGTCACAGAAATCGAAAGACGGTCAAGACTGCTGAGCAGCTCTTGTACCCCATGGCTACGCTGCATCCGCCCAGCGGCCGCCTTCCCGCCCATATCCACTGCCATGGTTTGGCCCCCTCGCCGGATCACGCCCTGAAAAATGTTATAAGAACAAATGACTGTGAATTTTTTAACTTAATGTATAACTGCACTAATTTATCATTAGGAGCAGGCACCGGCGGGGGGCACAGCGCCAGCCGTACATCGCTATTA